AACTGACATACAATAAACTGTACATTTAGAAAAATAGAATTTGATAAACATTTTTATATGTATATAACCATGAAACCACCACCATAATCAAGATAGTGAACATTTCCATCACCACAAGATTTATTTTGTCCTTTTAAATACTTGGAAATTTTCATAATCAAAAGCTCTTTTAAAAGGAAACTAAGAGGTAGATCACTTGGGTGTGGTGATTGAAGCTTGCAGACTAATAAGAAAAGGGTCTAGAATGACTCATAGGTTTATCTTAGAAGCCACTGAATAGCTACTGATAGGAGCCATTTATTGAAACTGGGAACACTGGAGAAGAAACTTGTTGAGTTTAGTTTTGTACATGTTAAGTTTGAGGTTACAACGAGACATTCAAGTGGAGATGTCAAATAGGCAGGTCTTATTCTAAAATGTAACAGTCTGGGTGAGAGATATAAATTTGGGGCAACTGGCATATAATAACTGAAGCCAAGAGAGTTGGGTTATCAAGAGAATAAGTTGGGTTATCAAGAGAATAAGAACAGAAAAAAGACTTAAGGGGGAAAAGACATTCTGAACAACTCTAATGTTTTATGATTAGGTACAAGAGGAGCAACGGGGAAATTGATGAGTGTACAGTATTGCAGAAGCAAGAGAAAACACGGCAAGAACACATCCTTGGTGCTTATCCCATTAAGTCACATTCTATATGAGTCTTACTTCTCACTGACAACTGATACATTATGATTTGCAACCAGTTAAGTGTGGGCAGCTCTGGAAAGATAAGTCATCTTTAGTTCATTTACAGAATTAAGTTTCTGAGCCTGTAAGGCTGAGGACTGGACCATGGACTCAGTAAATCAACCAAAACAAACCATACCTTGGAGGAAATCCCGATAGCTGTCTGGCTGGTGAGCTTTGCCTGGTGACCACCTCCAAGCTGCAGGAAGTCTTTCTTTGCAGCATTTATAGTACTAATTACTTTTTAAACTCTTCTGTTTTGCCTAGCATCAGCTTCTCAGGTGGGTTTCCCAGGTGGCACTAGTGGTAAAGAACCCTGCTGCCAATGCAAGAGAAGTAAGAGATATGGGTTCGATCCCTGGGTGGGCATGGCAACCCACTCCAGTATTCTTGCCTGGGAAATCCAATGGACAGAGGAGTTTGGCATGCTACAGCCCAGAGGGTCACGAAGAGTCGGACATGACTGAAGGGACTCAGCACGCATGCATGCTGCTTCTTAGGACCTTAAAAGGAAAGGGAATCTGGCTCATTAACAAGTTCAATCTCCCCTAAAGGCGGGAATCTGGATTTAAACCCCTGTTGATTATACAACCATGCCTGTACAATACAGTGACCCTGGGTCACTGTGTGATCTGGTGAGAGAAAGAGTTAATGGGTACAGAGTTTCAGATTTGAAAGAGGGAAAAGCTTGAGAGACCTATTGTACAGTATGAATATACTCAACATATTGAACCCTACAACTAAAAATTTTACTGCAATTTAAAAAAAGGAGAAAGACAAAATGAAGCTCTGGAAATTGAAAGAAAGGGCAAGGGTTGTAGTGGTATTAAGAAATGAGCTAGAACAGAGTCTATGACATGAAAAAAAAATCCCTCTAGTTCTTTTTTTTTTTACTGAGCAGCAACAAAACTAATTCTTAATATATTAAGAAAAGTTACATCATTATATCTCATCTGTGCCCAACTTATCAAATTAACATTTATAGCTTGAATTCAAGGCACAGTGCTAAATACTGTGAACCAAAAAAGCTTAAGAAACAGTTCTTACCTTCAAGGAAATGAACAAGTAAACAATCATAAAATATGGCAAGCAGAATTAGAGATATAGAGTACAGAGTACACAATACAGATTATTATGGCAGAACAGATAGAACTTTCTGGAAGAAGTGGCACTTGAAATAGAAAATTCACAAATGTCATGCAAAAAGATTTCATTCCACAATCTAATTCTGGATTTATTAGTGGTAGGAAATGACAGAAAGAACTGTACTTTTTAAAGGAGTAATTCATGTCTAGAAATGAAAGGATGGGAAAAGGGGAAAAAATAGGGATTTGAAGGGAGAAAGACTTTTTAAATTTCTTCATCACTGCATTTTCTATTTTTAAAATTAGCTCCAAATTTTCCTGCTTCTGTGTTTTTGCCCACAGCATTGCTTTAACTTGGACTATCAATCAGTATTCCTTTGTATTAAAATATGTACATATAACAAATGAAGTTGGACTGAACTAAATTATAAAATGCTTTCAGATAAACTAGAATTGAAAATAAAATAGACATTCTCTTCTAGCATTTTGCAAGGAAACAAATTATGTCTACATGTTTAGTTTTAATGAATTATAAAGGTATCTGGAATTAGCATGTGTGCCTGAGAGAGGCTAAACAAACAAAACTTTGTTGCAGAAAATCACATTTTAGATGTATCCAAATGAAATAAAAGGGAAGCAGCAGATTAGGGTTTTTAGGCCAACAGTAGATTTACAAGTGTATATTATTATCAAAGGCTTTTTCTGTTCTCTCACACTCAACTAATAGCTTATGACACTTGTAAACTTTCAAAGAACACAGTGATCAGATAGATTCTTTTCTCATATCTATAAGGATAATCACTGATGAAATGTGTATCAATGGTTCTTCACTAGGAGTTAAAGGGGACAGAGAGGGTTTTGACTGTCATAACTGGGGGTGGGGGTGGGTGGGAATGTCACTTTCATCTAGTGGTAGAGGCCAGAGGTGTCGGTAAAACATTCCACAAAGCGAAGAACTGCCCCCCACTCCCTTCCTGAACAAAAATTATCCAGCCTCTATGTCAACAGTTGGGAGTAGGAAATGGCAACCCACTCCAGTACTCTTGCCTGGAAAACCCCATGGACAGAAGAGCCTGGCAGGCTATAATCCATGGGGTTGCAAAGAGTCAGACACGACTGAGCGACTTCACTTTACTTTTACACGTTATGCCAACAGTGGTTAAGAAAATCTGATACGTAAAAATATATTTCTTTTTCTTTCTTTCACTCCTCTTCTTTCTTCTAAATTGTAACTCTTGAATAAGAAATGGAGCATATTTTATGACAATAAAAATAGAAAATGCTACTGATTTTTTCTCACTGACTAGGTATTTGGTCCATACTGCATCTGAATCAGCACTGTTTCAACCAAAGTAATAAGACACTTTTCACCAAATTTTTACTTGACCAATGGAATAATAGACTTTGTAAAGGATTGTATTGGTGAGCAATAATATGAAATATAAGAAAAAAACAGACTCCAAGAAAGAATCAGCAATTCATATATACTAACATGATATCTGACTACCATTATCGGGCATTTGAAATGCTTTTTAGTATTCTTCACAAATGATTATTAATTTAAAAATTGTAAAGTGTCTTGGTATTTGTGTTATGACATTTAAATTCAAAACTTATGTAGTTAGGAAAATATTCACCAGTATAAACAGCTAACCAAAATATTTATAAGCCACATGTTTAAAATGACTCAAAGAATTAAGAAAGTTCCAAAATTTAAATCATAATAGAGTACACTATATTTATTTTTTAACAAAATAGATAAACCAAATATTTACATTTTATGTATTTTGATTATTATGATAAAATTTGTTAATTTAATGTTCAGTTAAAATAAACTTTAGCTATTTAAAAAATGTCAAGTACATGATTAAGATAAACTTTCTGCTCATCAGAGAAAGAACTTCGGGAATCTGTCCAAAACACTAGGTCTTCATATTTTGTATCTTAGACCACTCAGGTGCTTCTTTCTTGGTCTGTGAAAAAAATAAAAGAATAAAAGAAAATTAAGTAAAATGCTTATAAGAAGGACAAGAGTACAAGAGAAGTCAATTCAAAGAACTAAGCACCTATATACGCTGGGAATTTTTCTGTAAAATTATAGTAAATAATTGCTTTCTATAATTCAGAAGGATAGTTAAGGGCAAAGATTTTGTCTTTTGTCAGAAATAATCTCCCACTGGAATGTCTATTAAAAAAACACACAGCTGTGTTTTCTGGCTTAAATTCTGCATTTAACATACTCTACAGAGGTAAGCATTTTATGAATTGATTCTATTTTTCAAAGAAAATTATAAAAAAAACCAAGGCCACAGTTTCTTTTTAGTTGTCTTATCTATCTATATAGATACTCATTCACTCAGTAGTTACTTAATGAAGAATTTCTAGATCTAAATAATTGTGCTTTGGGTATTCTGAATTGTTAAGTATAGGTTGGCCAAAAAGTTTGTTTGTTTTGACTGTATGATGTTATGCTGACCAACCAGAGTACTTCTTGGGTTTACTACTCAATCATCTCAGTCCAAAAGAGCCTGGCTATACAGAGTGGTAACAAAGGAGCAGGGAAGGTGGGGCTGTGATAAAACTCAGAAATCTATATAAGGTACTGATTCCAATCAAAACATCTTATTTTATATAATAAATCACATATGCAATTACTCCTTTCCCACTTATATCTCCTTAAAATTATGAAGAACCACATTCCTAAATACACAAAAATATATGTACACTGGCATATAGGTAAGTATGATAACTTATAATTTTATCTTTCTTATATGCCATAGCTGAATGCACAAATATTAGAAGTGACATCAATGGTCAGCTCCTCTTGACCTTAGCCATGCCCTTGGCCACCTTCAGGTACCACCAAATACACCAGTAGTCCCTCCATCTCCTTCCTCAGACCCCAACTGTATTACCATAGCCCTAACTTGAGCTACAGATACTTTTACATAACGCCTAAAGGCAACTAAAATTCAGTATGTCAAAAGGAACTCCCCCAATCCTCCATGTTTTGTCTTGGTGAATGGTACCATATTTTGTTCAGTCATCTAAACCAAGAATTTTGATTCTTCTTCATCTTAGCTTTCTTCTTTTTTTTTTTTTTATAAAATGACTCAAAGAATTAAGAAAGTTCCAAAATTTAAATCATAATAGAGTACACTATATTTATTTTTTAACAAAATAGATAAACCAAATATTTACATTTTATGTATTTTGATTATTATGATAAAATTTGTTAATTTAATGTTCAGTTAAAATAAACTTTAGCTATTTAAAAAATGTCAAGTACATGATTAAGATAAACTTTCTGCTCATCAGAGAAAGAACTTCGGGAATCTGTCCAAAACACTAGGTCTTCATATTTTGTATCTTAGACCACTCAGGTGCTTCTTTCTTGGTCTGTGAAAAAAATAAAAGAATAAAAGAAAATTAAGTAAAATGCTTATAAGAAGGACAAGAGTACAAGAGAAGTCAATTCAAAGAACTAAGCACCTATATACACTGGGAATTTTTCTGTAAAATTATAGTAAATAATTGCTTTCTATAATTCAGAAGGATAGTTAAGGGCAAAGATTTTGTCTTTTGTCAGAAATAATCTCCCACTGGAATGTCTATTAAAAAAACACACAGCTGTGTTTTCTGGCTTAAATTCTGCATTTAACATACTCTACAGAGGTAAGCATTTTATGAATTGATTCTATTTTTCAAAGAAAATTATAAAAAAAACCAAGGCCACAGTTTCTTTTTAGTTGTCTTATCTATCTATATAGATACTCATTCACTCAGTAGTTACTTAATGAAGAATTTCTAGATCTAAATAATTGTGCTTTGGGTATTCTGAATTGTTAAGTATAGGTTGGCCAAAAAGTTTGTTTGTTTTGACTGTATGATGTTATGCTGACCAACCAGAGTACTTCTTGGGTTTACTACTCAATCATCTCAGTCCAAAAGAGCCTGGCTATACAGAGTGGTAACAAAGGAGCAGCGAAGGTGGGGCTGTGATAAAACTCAGAAATCTATATAAGGTACTGATTCCAATCAAAACATCTTATTTTATATAATAAATCACATATGCAATTACTCCTTTCCCACTTATATCTCCTTAAAATTATGAAGAACCACATTCCTAAATACACAAAAATATATGTACACTGGCATATAGGTAAGTATGATAACTTATAATTTTATCTTTCTTATATGCCATAGCTGAATGCACAAATATTAGAAGTGACATCAATGGTCAGCTCCTCTTGACCTTAGCCATGCCCTTGGCCACCTTCAGGTACCACCAAATACACCAGTAGTCCCTCCATCTCCTTCCTCAGACCCCAACTGTATTACCATAGCCCTAACTTGAGCTACAGATACTTTTACATAACGCCTAAAGGCAACTAAAATTCAGTATGTCAAAAGGAACTCCCCCAATCCTCCATGTTTTGTCTTGGTGAATGGTACCATATTTTGTTCAGTCATCTAAACCAAGAATTTTGATTCTTCTTCATCTTAGCTTTCTTCTTTTTTTTTTTTTTCACTTGCTGTCTTCATTCTAAACAGTCCTTAACATTTACAGAAATATCTTTTACATTCCTTATTCTCTTTCTTCCCTGGTAGCTCAGACGGTAAAGCATCTGCCTACAATGCGGGAGACCCGGGTTCGATCCCTGGGTGGGGAAGATCTCCTGGAGAAGGCAATGGCAACCCACTCCAGTATTCTTGCCTAAAAAATCCCATGGACGGAGAAGCGTGGTAGGCTACAGTCCATGGGGTCGCAAAGAGTCAGACATGTCTGAGCGACTTCACACACACATTCTCTTTCTATCTTGACTCCAAAAGGCTTACCTTGGGCCTTTATTTCTGGCTTCATTCCTGCAAGAATTTCCTAATTCTGATTTGACTATCTCTTCTGTTCAGCACCCACAATCCTTCCAAGCTTATCTTTCTAAAATGTAAACCTGCATTAAAACACTTTAGTAGTTTTTCTTTAATAGAAAGTCCAAAGTCCTTAGTATTAAAGGTGAAAGAAGCCTTCAGGGTGAAACTGGGAAAAGCCAGGCTTTATCTTCCAAGAGAACTCAAAGGTGACAGGGGCTAACCAAATCTAAAAGAAACCAAAGTACAAACCAGAAGGCTAGCTGATCTGCCAGAAGAGGAGTTAGGTTCCATTCTGAGAAACTATGATCTTCAGTAAGTCATGATATAAACTGGTTTTAACTGGGGCTCGAGGATAAAAAAATGTGAAAGCAAATTGTACAGACCAAGAAAAAGGCACAGAATTTGTACATCGACATTTTCTCAATCAACTGATACTAAAAGTTCTTTTAGCATTACGTATGTGTGTGTGTGTATGTTTAATCGCTGAGTTATGTCCGACCCTTTTGGGACCCCATGGATTGTAGCCTGCCAGGCTCCTCTTCCCATGGGACTTCCCAGAAAACTGGAGTGGGTTTTCATTTCCTTCTCCAGGGGATCTTCCTGAAGCAGGGATGAAACCCACATCTCCTGCATTCGCAGGTGGGCTCTTTGCCATTGAGCCATCAGGGAAGCCCGTTAAGTATGTATGGTTGTGGTTGTTCAGTCGCAAAGTCATGTCTGACTCTTTGCAACCTCGTGGACTGTAACACACCACGCTCCTGTGTCTTCCACTGTCCTCGGATTCACGCCCACTGAGTAAGTGATACTAACCAACCATCTTTTCCTCTGCTGCCCTTTTCTCCTTTTGCTTTCAATCTTCCCCAGCATCAGGGTCTCTCCCAGAGGCAGCTCTTCACATCAGGTGGCCCAAGTATCAGAGTTTCAGCAACAGTCTTTCCAATATATATTCAGGGTTGATTTCCTTTAGGATTGACTGGTTTCATCTTCTTGCTGTCCAAGGGAGTCTCAAGAATCTTCTCAAGCACCACAATTCGAAAGCATTAATTCTTCGGTGCCCAGCCTTCTTTATGGCTCACAGCTATACACAACTACTGGTAGCTTTGACTATACAGATATTTGTTGCAAAGTGATGTCTCTACTTTTGAATATGCTGTCTAGGTTTGTCATAGCTTTTCTTCCAAGGAGCAGTGTCTTTTAATTTCATTGTGCCAGTCTCCATCCACAGTGATTTTGGACCCCAAGAAAAGAAAATCTGCTTCCATTTTTTCCCCTTCTACTTGCCATGAAGTAACAGGACCAGATGCCATGATCTTGGTTTTGTGAATGCTGAGTTTCAAGCCAGCTTTTTTACTCTGCTCTTTCACCCTTATTAAGAGGCTCTTTAGTTCCTATTTTCTGCCATTGGTAAATAAAACTTTTGATATTAAAAAGGAATCTTAAGACTTATAAAGGACAGAACAAACATTTCAATGGCAGACTGTCCCTCTTGATGACTTCAATCTGCATTTGGTCCATTGCAGATCATTCTCTCTCCACCCCCTCTTCCCAATACCTTCTTTCTTCAGATGTGTTAATGAAGTAGCTTTGCCACAGTCAAGTGGGCCTCTGTCTTGGGGATTAACTGCTTTTCCACTTCATAAATGAACTTTTCAATTCTTTTGTCATAACCATTTAAAATTGGTTTCACAGCTTGCTCCCATAGGACTAACATTTGTTCCTTATTCATAAGTTTTTGGGGAGAACTTCACTATCACTGTCGGGTTCAAACTACACTGAACTTAGAAGACAGAGAGCCCTTTAGGATATTGCCCAGACTACTTTTCTAATCCTAACTCTGAACACTTTACTACATGAACTAAATTGTTTGTAGTTGAGATTATTTTTTAAATAACTTATTGAACACCTATTTATATACCGGGTCCTTGTGTTAGGTTATACAGATACAAAAATGAATAAAGGATTCCCTGGAAGTCCCATGGTTAGGACTCTACGCTTTCATTGCAGAGGACCCCAGTTTGATCCCTGGTTGGGGAACTGAGATTCTACCAACTGCATGGCTAAAATAATAATAATACCCTATGACATGGCCTGCTGGTTGCCTGGGTTACATCTATTTTCCTCTTCTGAAATACAGAACTCTGATTTTATTATCAGAGTCATGAAAAACTACATTTATCAGCCTCCTGGCTTCCCAGGTGGCAGAGATAAGAATCCACCATTGCAGGGGACATGGGTTTAGTCCCCGGCCCGGGAACATTCCATATGCCGAGGAGCAACTGAACCTGTGCACCACAACTACTGAAGCCTGCATGCCTAGAGCCCATGCCCCAAAACAAGAGACGCTGCCGCAAGGAGAAGCCGTGCACTGCAACAAGAGAGTAGTCCCCGGTCTCCAAAACCAGAGAAAGCCTGCCTGCAGCAAAGAAGACCCAGCACAGCGAAAAACAAACAAACAAATAAAGCAGTGTGTACATGTCCAAAAAAGTAAATAAATAAAAATGTTTTGAAAAAAGCAGAAACACTGAAAAAGGGCATAGTTTCCAGTGTGAGCTACCTGGACTTTGCTGTTACAGAAAGTCACATATTTTATTGGATATTTTGTACTCTAAAATAGAAAAAAAAAGTAATAGGAACTCGTTTCCTACGTTAATAGCAAAGCAACTTTCCATCGGAATCTATTTCTACCTGGGTATACTGACTTAATATTAAGATAATGATGAGATTTAGCAAAACCCAGCTGCTCAAAACTCTTGAGCATTTGGTTTTATTTCTTTCAAGTCGTAAGTGTCACCTTCTTGAGGAGGCCACCCCTCTCTGTTCCTCATTCCCCTTCTTGTTTTATTTTTCCCTATAGCATTTGTCAATTTTCCAATTTCTCCACAATTTATTTTTTGGTTTGCTTGTCGATTTATAGTTTAATTTTCATAAAAGAATGTAAGTAAGCTCACAGAAGGAGGAATTTTTATATCTTTATTACCTCTAACAGTGCTTGGCATAAGGTAGGGGCTCAATAAACAGTTTTTAAAATGAATGAATGATGTTAGGGTTAGCTATGATAGACACCTCTCAGTTCTGTTTAAGTCTGGCTATGAATTCTCACGAGAGTTTATATTCAAGAGTTGCCCCTGTGCAATGTGAAAGAAAACGCCACCACAGGCTCCAGCCAATCAGGTAACATCACCATTTACAAGCAGGGTGGGCAGTATTAAAGATTCTAAGTAACACTGCCGTTACTGAACAGGAATGATAATAACCAGTAAGATATGGAAAGAGCATATTCTGTGCTATGAACTCAAGGCATGCTCAGCCTTTGTACTGGTAAACTTCTGCTGTCACTGTCTGAAACTCAGGTTACCCGTGAATAACTTCTCATCTACATCAGTATCTATATCTAAACACTAGCAAAATTCAAACAAATTCCTTGGAGATAACAGTGATTCTGGAAAGCTGATTTCAGATCCTTATGACACATGCATTCTCTGTTTTTAGATACTGTGTCAGTAAGGTACTATTCATTAGTGATGGCT